AAGGCAGCTAGTCATCACCACCCACCGCTAACTCTTGGACTACTCTTTTACCAACGAATAGTGGGATTGACCATCACATTATAATGCCCCCACGGCTGAATGGGCGGGCATGTTTAGTGTGACAGGGATTCGAACCCATGACCCGCAGATTGCGAGTCGAGCGCCCTAACCACCTGGCCATGCTGGGCCTGATGCATAATGAGATGTGCTTTATGTGTATTATTTAAAAGGATGGGTTGTAAAATTATGTAATTGGTAATATGTGTAGACACATTGAACAATAAAGAAAGATTGTTTTTATATCTTAAGAAGCTAGTGCTATAGTTTTAAGTTTTACAATTTCTCCCATCATGAAAGTAGCATCTTTGAAACTATTCCCTAAAAGCATAGAATCACAGAGTTACTTTTAATATCACTAATTCTAGCTAACCCATTGACTACTAAATCAATCCTTTATTGTTTGCTTGCTAGAACATTTTATTTTTTCCTGCCCATTGCTATATCAGTCTTTAAAAGATGTTACTTCCCACCTAAAGAAACTTCAAGTGAGTGATATTAAACCAAGCACATAGTTTATGAATACCCTCTTTTTCAAGAGTAGCCTAAGCTGCTGATAAGGCCAATGATAGCAAGAATATTGTTATGACAGCGGAAGTCACGTGACCCTGGTAACACGTGATGAGTTTCTAGAAGGATCGGGGAACATCACGAATAATCCAGTATTTGCTAGGTGCCCTTTATTTTGTATATATAAGACCGGTAAGAAGTGACGGCATAGAGAATTGCAGACAGACAGAGATAGATAATTGAATAGCAGACAGAGAGATAGAGACAGATAATCGAGTCAAGCCGTAAGTAAAGTGTGTAAATCGTTGTGAATTATAGCGGGTGTTGAAGTTAAAGTGACTGTGGAAATTCTGTGTATTGCAAAGTCGTATTGAGGAAGAATAAACTAGTTTTATTTAAGAAAGGGCTTGTATCGCTGAAGTTCCTCGAGAAGAATTTTTCCGGAAATTATCAAACGAACAGAGACGTAACAATATTTATAAAATTATTTAATAGGAGTGAATGCCATATTTAATTGTAAATTAACTACTGTATAAGAACCTTCTTATAATATGGCTCATATCCTAGATGAATAAGTTTATATATTTAATAAAACCATATAAAATTAATTTTTAAAAACAATTTTGTAATTTTCTCTGTTACTGATGTCTAAAAAATTTTTATTCAGGGTTGAACTTCTTTAAAATTTCATGCCAGAACTCTGTACACGAATACATGCTCCTTTACTTATGTTTAGAACTGTTATGTAATTTAAAAAGTGTTGTAAAACTGTATTATTGTACTATATTTAATAATTTTACAACTAATTTTGTAGTGGTACTCAGGACTACCTTTAAACTTATTTACTGGTAATGGGTTATACCAGTGCATAGGGACTAAAGTTTGCATGTGTTTATTGTTATTTTCAAAAGTTTAAGCATATGTTTTTGTTTATATTGCGTACTTGCATATAATATTCTGTAATATATGTAAATACACACCACCCAGAGTCCGTCCTGAATGTACTTCACTCGAACTTTAAAAACCAGAATATCAACAATGTAGACAGCATCACAGAAGTAATCAATACCCAAGAGATATGGGAGGTTTTCTGGTGTTTGATACTTAAACAGAGCTCGAAGGAAAATGGACCAGGCATTGTAAACAAAACAAAGGGTGACAATCAGCAGCCAAGAGATGTAGATCTTACCTGGAATAATAAACATAAAAATTTATTTGACTAACATTCATTCAACAGAATTTAACAATAAACAACTTACCAGGAAAACGATAAAAAAGATTTGTGGGTAAGTAGAATGAATCAACATGTAGTTCTATGTAAAGTAAAACTGAGGACAGATTAATAAACTATACTTATCTATATAATAGGGATGTAATAGTTTAAAATATTCCCTGGAGAGCAATTTCCATATAATGAAAGGGGTAAATACTATACCTAAGATGAAAGCAAGAAAAAGACAAATTACAACCTTTCAACAAATTCACTCCCCATCATCAAGTACAACTTACAAATGAAAGTTATATAGTGAAATATAGCGGGGAGTTAGATTATTTGTTTATAGAGGGTTGTTTTTGTTTCTTATAGATTGTTTGTTGTTACATGCAAATCAACAAAGTTTTTGTTTTTCCATTGACATTACCTAACAGAAATTGGGGGAGATGTTATGGCCAGAGTCGTGATTATGTTGAAAGATGTAAAAGGAGTAAAATCAAATTATTTTTTAAAATTAATATTATGTGCATTAAAAGCAAGGGCATACGCACGTACGCTCTTAAATATAAATTTTATTAGCGTATAGCCCGTCTAAAATGACTGAGCAAGTACTACCACTCCATAGTATATCTGCCCCCCCCCCGTGGCACAGCGGTATATCTGAGGACTTACAACACTAGAATCCGGGTTTAGATACCCGTGGTGGGCAGAGCATAGATAGTCTATTGT